GAAGATCACTATTTAAATATAATGTCCCTAAATAAAATTTATGTATGAGGCAACACCCAAATGCTATTTAAAAGTTGTCTTACTTTAGTTAATGAAGTTCCACTTCTGATTATTATTTATTGACCAAGTAATCATGCAAGTTAAAATACAATTATGAGCTGTTACAGGTTTTTTAGTATATTGACTGATATAAGCTGTACTTTTTTGCATATATATATTTGTAAGAAGGCTCTTTAACTAATATTATAATATTGATTATACAATGAGCATGAACAAAATTACAGGTATAAGCCATTCTTTCAGGGCTAGAGACCGGCTTTATACATCATTTACTGTTAGATTTGCCTTCCAAATTYTAAATGCCAAATACCAGCCTAATCATGCTGAAATGTCTCTGCAGAGCCCTAAGATTTGGTTATCCAAGCCAGGCACACATCACAGTGCTGGGCTTGCTTGCAGCAAATTCCTCTSTCATCCCTGCTTACCGTGCTTTGGCTCACATTGGAGAGAGGGATCTTGGAAGTCCTTGATTAGCTCAAGTGAATGCCAAGTCTTTAATTAGACATAATYCCACACAGGGTGGTACCAGAGAGGTGGTGTCCTCGGGCTGCCAGCAGCAGGGCAGGCTCCCCAGATGCCYGGGCCAGGCTGCAGAGAGCCCCTTTCAGCCCTGCCAGCAGCCAGGTGAGCAGCACAGCAGCATCTCCCCAGCTTGCTCTTGCCAGGGAGATTTTGACTGATTGGGCCCAGCTAAATCATTCCTGTGTCACTCAGCAGCAGGAGGTGTCTGCTGCCCATTTGTACAAACAAACAGCACAGTGCTGATGGCTGGGGATGCCAGAGCTAAGAAGTGTTGGCATGGCAATGTTGATAGTCCAGGAAGACAGATAGCTGCTAAGATAAGAGTTTCATGGACCACTGAGWCATTGAAGGTGGATTCCCCTAATTCAAATATGTTATGCTTAAATATTTAGCCTTTTTTTAGGATCAATACACTAAGAACCAGCTTTATGTAGTTGCCTGTGTTGCCAAACATCCCTGACTTACGACACTGAGCAGGAGCATGAGCCAAAACCAAGAGGTTTCTGCTGCTACTCGTGTTTGTTACCTGAGCAGCAGCAGGAGCCAAGGTATGAGATTGCTCACAGAGCTGCAATGCTCAATCAATAATGCTGCAGAACAAAGCACAGAACATAAACGCCTGCTAGAAACAGCCCAATGCAAAACACAAACACTGACACCATGAGTGAACAGAGATCCATCCAGCACGAGCCCARACAAGTCTGAAAATGGCTTTACTTTGTTTTTACACTTCTGCCTGCTGGGGCACATTTATCACTGAAAGCAACTTCTCCTGAAGCACTGCTCATCTAATTTGCAGTCAGTGCCTGTAGCTCGTTCCTCCCTCTCCTGCACTATGCCAGAGTCATYGTGGGAGTTTGTTATTGCTGGAACACAGCAATTACTGGCTCTGCCCAAATACTACAGTCACATCACCTATAAAATGCATAAAGAAATGCACAGAAAAGTTAAATTCACTCTTAACAATTGTTATACCATGATGGTTCCCCAGCAGAGAATGAGGCCTTTGTTCCACACCAACATTTACCAATTTCTGCAGAAATAATCCATGCAGAAATAAACCCCAAAACCTACTCAACCAATTTGTTTTGTAATGCCATGACTATCTAATTTTTAAGAGACTTACATATAAAAACACACAGATAAAATTTACRGTATTCTAAAAATGATCGTATCAAATAGAATCTGTCTCAAAGGGTACAGCTCTAAGGTGTCAGCTTTTCAATCAGCTTAGTTGCACAGCACACAAGCCAAGTGTAACCCCATTCCAAGGACAAGGCCAGGAAAGAGGCTCCCAAAATGCAAAGGCCAGAAACAGGACCTGCAGTCACATCACTRATGCCATCCTCTCTGCTGTGTTTGGGGGCTTCTTGGAGAGATTTGTTTGGTGATAATTTAAATTCTCCAAATAGTAGAATCTAATTGATATTTATGTAATTCTCTGCTTACAAATATCTGCATTTCCCTCTCCCTACCGTACACTTTTTTGCAACAGATATTATGAAAGTTTTTATACCAGAGTAAATGTGACAGATACTACATAACTGAGTAAAAGTTTGCCAGTGTAGAGCTATGCAATGTAAGATAAATATTAGAAGATCATATGGATGCAAAAATCACAACAAATTTGACAAGTTTTAGTCCATTCAGAGTGCAGGCAGCACATAGCATCAGATATTACAAAAACCACACTATTTACAGCTGTGCTGTTTTACCATACACAGGACCAGGGAATAATCACAGGATTATTTCACCTGGAAAAGACCATAAAGAAAGAGTCCAACCACTAATCAACTAAACCTATTTATTCTTATTTCCAATATGGAATTATTGTGCTTGATGCTTCTACAGCAAATAATTATTTCACTTACTATTTCCAAAGTTTCAAAGATTCTGCACTGAAATATAAATGAAAWGTAGACAACATTCCTTTCTAAGCGCTCTGTTTGGGCTGCAAATATCATGCTCCTTGATCTTGTATTACAAATACACCATTATTCAAATACTTTGCTTGATTTAACTGAGCAGTCTGAATCATTCTGAATGAAGGGGGGGGCTTGAGCTGATAGAACACYTCCCAAAACAATTCTTTTACATCCTACAGTAAYACATAGTTCCCATATACTAATTACTTATACTAAGTATAAAATGTCAGAATCAAGTAAACATTTCTTTTGACTCTTTGCTACCAAATAATATCGCCTTTAAAGTTTATTCTAAAGCAACTGTACTTTTATCTGAATATAATCTCAAAAACTTCAAATTAAGTGTCTTTTTTTCAAAATAAGTAGTATTCAAAAAGCTGTTGGGCAGATTTTCAGCCTGGTAAAGCAGCACAGCATTAGAGAATTCAATAGACCTTTAGCCATTCCAACCAATTAAGAAACAGAAATCAGCATTTCAAAAGACATGCACAGGCACCTCTCCCACCTAGAGCTTCATTTTTTTAAAAGGTCACATGTTACACTGCATAACAGTATATATATATAGAAACTCCTCACACACACACACAGAGGCACTATTAAATTCCAAAAACTCAAAATTATATCTTACCAAGACTGAACTCCAGCTTTGGCTCATTTGCAATTCTCTGAATACCTTAAAAGGTTAAGGAAAGAAAAATTAGAAATAATTTGACTTCCATGTCTTGCTTTTCAATGCATAGTAAAATTTTCACATGCCTATAACTACTGCCCTTGTCACTGAAATAACATTTTATATTGCAAACTCATGGTCAAAGCGAATTTTGATGAACTGCCTGAAAAAAAGGCTACTTTTGAAGAAGACTTCCTTCTTAATAGAAACTTTCTGTTGCTGGGAAAGCAAACCAGGAAAAAAAAACCCAAGGGTTTCATGGTGATGAAAGGTAATTTTAAGATTTTCAATCACAACTGACTATGTATCTGTTAGATAAATATTAAATCTAACAACTCGCTTTTAAGTAGGTATGTCATCATGGTAAAAACGAAACCTATGTTTTCTGAAAGTATATAAATGGGCTTAATATAGTAAAATATGACTGCATTGTTGACCTACAAAAAATTGTAAAGCAACAAACCCAACTTCTTTTTGTTGGGAAATAAATACATTAATTCCCTTTCTCATGCAGCAGGAAGAAGAACATTTTAATCCATTTTGGAATTATGTTCCATTACATATGTTACTGAAAAGAGCAATGTTTTGTTGTGCTAAAATAAAGGAGTGAACCACAGAGATGCAACAAGACAAACGTAGGAGGGAAGGAGGGACAGGTAAATAGCACAGAGTTGTTCACCTGATGCARAAAGTAACTGGATCTCAACTAGAGTTTCAATGAACTTGTAGAAATTAAACACTATTGTTGACATTTTTGTAATTGTCTCCAGTAAGCATTACTGATTATTGGTAAGTATTAAAGAAATTGGTCAGATGGGAAGGATTGGATTAGTATATGAACTGGAAAAGATTTTTCTTTAAAAAAAAAAAAAACAAATTCAAATCCACTGACAAAAAAACCACCCCAAATTATGAAGCTGTGTCTGCTTCATAAAAACTTAGCGCTGCTAAGTCTCRCTTCACACCGTTCTCATTACTGTACCTATTCATTCACATCTGTGCGAGAAAAATCACAGCTGCAGAGCTTAGAAAGGTAAAAAAAAAAGTTTGCTTTGGGTTTTTTTTTAAAATACAGCTTTAACAAATTTCAAAGTTGAACTCTGCMGCTAGCATATTGGCCTGAAGCACCTTCATGAATATGCTGGATACAGAATTGATTAAGTGACTGGGCAACTGAAATACAGTCTCCTGACTCAGAGCACCAAATACAACTCAACATATGGCTACTTGCATTCAAATCCCCAGAGTGCTTTTAGATCACGAAGAACAAATCTGTGATACCAGTTTAAGTATCACTAAAGCTTTAGACATTTATCAAAGTTATCAGACTATATTTTAAACAGTAGTCCATATGTTCATTTAAGACATAAAAGAGGAAAAAAATACTTGAAAAGTCTTATGAAGAAAATAGATTAGAGAGAAAAACTGAGAAACATAGTAATCACACATTTGTTTCCCTGAAGATTTATGTGCATAAACCAAAATTTATGGAAAAAYATTCAAGGACAATTTTCATCATTTTACCTCCTCTAGACTGCACTTTAACAAACAAGAAGTTGAACAGAATTTTGTATTCTGTTTGTGACACAACCTGAGCTGCCACAGAGACTGGGCCACCTTTACTGTACCACCCCATAAAATGAGCCCATGCACTTACTTGTAAACTGGGGCTCTCCTAGACTGTCTAACTGGGATGGAGGGAGAAACTGTCGTGCTTCATCTGATGAYCTCTCCTCTTTGATTTCCATGATCCGCCTCCGGAGCTGCTGAATTTTATTCCGCAAACCTTCCGAGTTCGCCTCCCCCAGTGCCACAGCCCAGGACTCACAGTCTGCCTTCGATGCAGCTTCAAGGTAAAGTTCCAGTTCTCCACTCTGAAACTCTGCACTCAGAAAACATGAAAACAGCTCTTAGAAACAGTGATTCAAAAAGGGGGTGGTGGAAACATTGGTGTCACACACAATCAAAACCACCACACGCACATTTATGTTCATGGTCACAGAACCACACAGCCCCATCCGCCTCTGGAGTCAAACCCCAGCTCCTTCCCACTCGGTGCAGTGCTAAACATATCCACAGAGTAGCTCCAAAATCAGTGAAGAGATGGCTAAATTAGGTGGCAGAATCAAACCAAAATGGGAAAGCCTTTTCCAGCACAGATTCTGCAGCCTAGCAGGCAGCTCTCTGAGCTGCTAACTTGAAAAAGGATTGGATTTAGCAGGGGCAGCAGGCAGGRTTCTGTCAGAGAGTGGGATTCACCAGAATGAACGTGCCCATCATCTCTCCTATTAGAGATCTCCATTATGCTCAGCTTCTCATTCATCCTTGCCAGAATACRGATCAGCAACACATGCAGATAATTTAGCACGACATAACTCCTCTGTAAAGACAACAGGTTGTATGTGGGAGCTCCTGACCTCATTACTATCCACGTGTCATTTGCTGTTCTGCCTGGAGTCTAATTGTTTAATGATCAAATTTTCTAAGAACAAAAGAAGAAAAGGGAAGAAAAATAATGCTGAATGTCCCAAGGAATCCAGGTAAGTAGCAAGGGTCAGTCATTTGATTAAGATTAGAAGAGGAAGAAAAAACACCTCTAAGGCATTTAAAATTCTGCAGTATAGATGGCTTCACAGAGTCACAAATTCAATGTGACATTTAGTGTAACAAACACCAAGAAGAGAAAACTGGAAAAGAAGAAAAATCAATGCTTCTTTAAAACTTGTTACCAACTAATTTAGGAACATAAAACTATAAAACACCTTGCTATTGTATTAATAGGGATTGAAGTATTTGGTTGGGCAGCAAAATCTAAATCAGCCATTTATCATATTACTGGATGAAACAGAACACTTAAAGGTTTTCAAACTGAGTTCAAAAACCCAAACACAGAAAAGTGCTTKTCTGTACAATGTGAATTTAAATTCCKTTTACTACYTTGAGTATCTAACCTTGGGCACTTGCACACATGTTATTCTAAACCTGTTTGCACTTCATAAACTGAGCATCTGCCAGTTACAATTACCTCTGCTTTTATGGTTATGGAGGGAATAAAAGATGAAACATCAAGTCTGGAAACCTCTAAAAACTGTTCGCAAATCCCTGTGGAGGTGGGACAAATTTTTTGTCTGGGCTGGATCTAAGAAAATCTGTGTGGCTGCAGATTCTGCTAAAAATGCTGGGTAGCATTTCATACACCTGTTGGACTATAGATTTCGTGAGGAAAGACTGGAAAGAGAAAGAACTTGGAAACATCTCTCTGGCTTCAGGGGCAGTTTAAAAAAAGCTAGTGAGTATTCAAATTTGTGTCTGTAACTCTGGTTCAGTCAGAAAAAACAGGTGTTTAGTTCTTGAGAGAAGAATAGTCCAAATCTTAGGGAGCTGCAGGTGTTCACTAGATCCTGTTTACACACAAAATCTGCTCTGAGTGACCAAACCTGACCAAGCTGAGCTTTGCTGTTTRTCAAAAATGGCTGTAGAGACAGAAAAGATCTAGCTGTAAGTTCTCCTGTGGTCTGGTACTGCATGTGAACCATGATGGCAGCAAACCTCAGAAAGTTCAGTATTTAAAAGAGCTGATAACTTTTCTGTTCYCTTCTGTCACTGGCATCAGTGGGTCACTGTTTTATTTCACAGTATTTTGGAGCTGTCAGTGGAAAATCAAAAGGAAAGAAAATGCATATAATCAACCAGCATCAAGATCAAAATTAACCAGCAGTCACTCTAACTTTTAAAAAAAAAAAAAACAAACCCACAAATCACAAAAAAAACGCACAAAACCCCAAAATTAACACCTGCTTATGCCATTCAGCCTTTAAAAGCACAAAAGCACAGACAATTTTAATAAAAGCTGTTTGGATATCCAAGATACTTTTGCAAAAGAGTGGCTGTCACAGAACCAAGTCAACACTCAAGCAAAAATACAAATACACCAAGCTGTTACTTTCCTTTTTCTGTTTATCTTTAAATGGAAATAGGAGCACTGATCTTGTCTTRAAATATCCTACCACTAGCTGGATAWAAAACATCTGCTTTGGGAGGAAATMAATGTTTTTCAATTGAAATTATGCTATTTATATTTACCTCTTTGCTGTAAAAATCAGACTGCCAAGCTCAAAAGGCATACTGAATCACCATTAATATGCATGGAAGCAGAAATGGATAGCAAAATGCAGTAGAAGTGGGCATAATTTCACTGTATTCTGATCTAACAGGTGCCAGTTTTGAGATGTGGAAATTCATTCTAAACTGTCACTTCAAAACACTACAGTCTGCTATATTTAGATCCTTGGAGTACTCTGACAGCTAAGTAAAATTCTGAAAAGCATATGAAAATGCCTGAAAAATAYTCATCACTGCAAATGTAAAAAGTTTTATTCTGCAGATCCAACAGCAGGTAAGTTACCAATTTCCCATTCTGTTTCAAAGCCTGTAAATSACAGCGTGGTTTGGGTTGGAAGGGACCTTAAAGATCACCTAGTCCCACYCCCTGCCCATGGACAGGAACACCTACTGCTAGATCAGGATGCTCAAAGCTTCATCCAACCTGTCCTTGAACATTCCCRGGGATGGGGCATCCACAGYTTCTCTGGGCAACCTGTGCCAGGGCCTCACCACCCTCACAGCAGAGAATTTCTTCCTAACATCTAAYATAAACCTSCTCATTTTTASTTTAAACCATTCCCCCTTGTCCTATCACTCCATGGCCTTGTAAAAAGTCCCTCTYCAGCTCTCTTGTAGATGCCCTTTAGGTAGTGGGAGGTTTATGTACCCAAAGCCATCATGCCAGAASGAACACAAYGTGAAAAATGCACACTGGTAAAAAWGTCTGTTRCAATAATGAGCACRYAGCTTCACTTATGTAATAAAGATCATAATCTCTTTGCTCTTCTCCCTCTGATAGTTGCTGACTATTGTTTTAAATCAGCTGCATACAGTAATCTCTAGCAATTTCAGACACTAGAAATTCCAAGTTTCAGTACAGAGAAAAAATTGGCATTAATTTTTCCCAAAATGAAACTAACGGACCAACAAATGTAATGAAGGCTTCAAAWGAACAGCAGACATATCAGAAGAATTATATAAATATATGAATAAACAACTATTACGATTTGTTTAATTAAAATAGTAAATTAAATTCAAAGGAGAATTATATATCATTGTGTCTTGGTCTCTTGCTGCTCCTTATTGCAGTGCCAGAGACTGAAAGCAAGACCTGAGAAAGCAGATAATGGAAAGCAAACAGATCTGTGCACAGAACCTTTTCTGGTCACGGCTCCATTCACCAACAGCTCTTTTGCTGAAGCTTGATCTCAACAAGATTTTGTCCCACAGAAGTCAGAATAGAAAGTTACAGTGCACAGGTCTTGTGCAGCTCAAATAAAGAATATCCCAGCTCTAAAGGTCAAATAAGGGAATAGCACRAAGAATGCTGGCACATCCCCAGTGGCACTGGAAAGCCTTTTCTACTCTAACCCAACTGTCTAAAATCAGAAATGTGTTTTGGTGTTAGTTCCTTCATCCTCAGATAACTTTTCCTTCTTCACATTATTTCATAGTAAAACTTACATTTCCTAAGTTTTTCAACAATTTTAACAATACCAATTGCCTCTTCTCTCTCTATTTTGATAGTTCACTTGTTTTAAAAAGGAAAAGAATTTTCTAGATAAAAATGTCTGAATGAGCTTCCTCTAAATTTTTTAAGTGTACTTTGTTGCAATTTTAATCACAATCTTTTATACAGAAACCTCAATTTMTGTGAATTCACCAAAAAATTTTAGGCAGTTATTGGAGATTACTCTTGTCCTTCAAAAGACTGCAGTTTAATTGGAAGGCTTTCAAAATTAAACATAATAAAATAAAACAAACACCTTTCCACTTTGGTTTTACATCTTATTCATTTGTTATTAGCTTTTTTTTTTTTTTCTTTAAGACAGTTTTATTGGTTTATTTTACTGGACAGGTAAAGACAGGAAGACTGATCTCTGTCTTGCTTTATTTTCCTTCATGAGAGTTATAAGCATAATATCATGATGAACAGGACAAAGAGGAAATAACTGGGATGATTCAAATTAAGAAAATGTACAAAACCAGTGGCCAGCATCCATGATGACAGCCTTGACTTTTTTTGAGGATCACTATTTTTCTTCTTATGCTAATATGCAAAGTAGGAGAATTCAAAAAGTTTAATGGTTGTCTGTCTCTTTTCACACATACCAGCAAAAATGAAATTCTCAGCTGCTAGCTCAGCAGAGCCAAATGGTTAAGGATATCAGTGAGTCACTGACACTCTAAAATATAAAGCACCATCACGGCTAACTACCATATGCTGTAACAAAAGTAGAATGGAAGCTTTGATACGTAAATTATATCCGCAGGATATTTCTAATACAGACATCAGAGGCTTTTAATTCACAAAGCTGTCTGAATTCTATATGCTGATGCATTTCATGTTCAAATTAGTARTGATGAAATCATCCCATGGTTACTCATGATGCTATGTTAATCTTCCTTTGGAAGTTATATTTTCAATCAAAGATAAAGAATTTTATTAAAATTTTTATCTTTAGTGGTTTTTTTTTTTTTGTTTTTGCAATGCTGGAATAAACTTAGATAAGTTGTCATTATAAGATCCACAGAACCTCACCAAGGGTCTGAATATTTAAAATTACTATAGCAAGATACTCCAGGTTGACTGCTGCAGTACAATACTCTGTTTCTTTTAATGCCTGTCAGCYTCCCCACATGCCTCTCTGCTTCTACCCTTTCATTAAATGCCACACCTATACTGGAAGGCATGCAAACCACACAAATATTTGAATACCACAATGGTATCTCAGGATCCCTGAGCAAACACACTGCAGCATTCACTGAAAGTTCCTTGCAAAGCAGTGCATTGCATTTGCTGAAGGGGAGCAGTTCATTTCTCTGGCTGGACCAACAGTCTGCCTCGAAAAAAGCAGGATTCAGAGGTCTTCATTCTGTGCCTAGATCTGCAAGAGAAACCTTTGCATGTGCCTCAGTTATTCCATCTCTAAAACAGGGAGGAATCCTGACCTGTTTCCAAGCTATTGAAACAAAAGTCTCCAAGTAGCTTGAGTACTACAGCTGGCAAAGGGAGTGCTTGCTGTCTTAGGGTGTTCCTCCATACAGGCCCCTTTGTTTATAATTTTCCTGATTTACAGCAATGTGATTTAGATGACTGTGACCTGCATGAAAAGCTCTGTTTTTTTCCTTTGCTCCCTCCCACCCTCCTCCCCAGCCCTACCCAGATGTTACAGCTCTTATCTCCCTAAGGGGCCACACACAATAACGCAGTAGAATCCACAAGGAATCTCTTTTCCTGAAAGACAGAAGAGATTTGCAGATCAAGACAAGGCAGTCCTTGCATGCTGCCTCTCACATCTGTTTCATTTCACTGTGCCTGTGTCTCCTGGGGACCATCAGGTGGAGGAAAGGCAGARTTGACCATTCACAAGGCTCTGTACAGCACAGGGGTCAGTTCAGGCTGCTCCTGGGAGAACATCCAGTCACAGAACATCCAGAGCTCCCATTGCCCCATTCCAGGGAAACACAGCAATGGCCCAAAGCACCCTGTCCTGCTAATGGTGACCAGTTCTCATTAGGAGTGTGTGGAAGCCATCAGGCATAYGTAGACTGATATTTCACCTTACAAATGGTTTTCTTCCCTTCCATGGGCCCCCTTGGAAACCTTCAGAGTTTCCTTCACTCCACCTGAAGCCCTGACTATCTATTCTGACTCTATCTGACCTTTTCTGTACTTCCCTCTTGTTTCAGGGCCCACATTGCCCTGAGGTGATCAGCAGCATCACCAGATGTTTCATGAAAATGTCCTTTTTCCCTCCATGTTTACTCCACTGCCCTTCATTGCRTTCTCTTCCTCAATATCCCAGTCAGTCTCCATTTCTCACTGTTACAACTCCTAGGATTCAGCCCACCACTCAGAAACACTTGGAGACAATATGGCAAAAGCTCTCTCAAATCCCCCTTTGTGGTCCCAAACTGAAACTTGCAAGATTAAGAAAATGTTGTTTTACCACGCCATGTTAAATCTCACAGATAACTCTGCCTTCTTTCTTGCAGCTTCTGCACAGCTCTTGTCCATCAGATCCACAAGGAATTTGACATTATGGGCAGGTATGTCCCCCAATCCTGCTTTCATCTGAATCCTTTTAAGTCCCAGATACACATTCTACAGCTTTTTTTGGCTCCCAATAGCCAATGGATCTCATCTTGTGACAATGAAACTAGCTTTTCATGGTCAAAACCCCTACTGATAAAAGACCTGTCTTCCTAGTTCCTGAGTTTTGCTTTTCTCCCCAGTTTTGTCTTCTGAATTTTATTCTATCCTACAGCACCTGGATTATTATTTCACTTCTTTTAGTATTTTATCCYCATTCAGTACACTGTATATCATCTTCATTTGTCTTCAGTTTTGTTCTAATACCTCATAATAGTCTGGCTTTCTTTTCCAATCCAACAAATCACCAGCCAGGTTGTCATCTTTGTTCTCCAGCATGGGTAAAGTGCCAAGTCTGAAATACATTACTCCTCTACCTGTCTGTCTCTTCTCTGGCTCCTGTTTGGTCTGTCACAGGTATTCATCATTTGCTGGCTCTGTTTACTTGGAGTTTTATGCACTTTTTACTCTTTTCCCCTCTTCATATGTTTCTAGAGGCTGCTCAGAATGCCACCCTTACCTCTGTTTTCTACTGATACACCACCAACCTTCAAAAACTTGGTTTTGGGAAGTCTGTCTCTCAGCTCGTTCCTAACTAAGCATGTTTCTTCCTCCACACATATTCACAGGCTCTTTTTTCTGCCCAGGCAGCCTGAAGTGCTTACTCAGTATTCATTGTTGCCTGTGTCCCCAGCTTTTGGGCTTAAAACCTGCTGTTGTCACTGTGCAGAAACTGTCCTGTTTGCAGGCTTCAAAGCTAATTGAGCCCTGTCAGCAATTACAGCTGCATTCTGGGCTCASTTCAGCAGCTTTGTGTTCAAGCATTGCAAAAGCAGTGCCAGAAGGGAACTGACATGACTGTATTTATACTCATGAAGTTGGTAATTCTATGAATGAATTGGACTCATTGAGGGCACAATTAGAAAAGTCTCAATTTGAGTGTCAATGGGAAACATTCAGCTCTTACAGTCAGGCAAAGCAATGCTTKCAAACCCAGAAAGAAATCCTTTTTGATGCAGTGCCTCAACACCAGGCACAAAACATATGATTYTGTTCCCTATAAAAGATGAGCCATTTGAGCTATTCCCCAGAACACTACTCAGATAAGGATAAATTCCACAATGAATATATTTTAAGTCACTGCCTTCTCAAACATGACCAACCACTAAGAATCACTTCAGCRGGTGAGAACAAAAGTCAGCATAATTAATGCAACATTTTCTTAGAAGTGGACTGGAGATTTTGGTGCATAAAAAGAAAAGATGATAGAAACTTCCACTGAATGTGAAAGTATCCATCAAGCCCACAAATGCAGCCTCATTTTTTAACTCTGCTCTTAGACCATTACAGCTGAAAATGGCAAACTGTGCTAAGGACTTCAAAACTCTGCAGTGGTATCAGAAAGAATCCAGGCCATAAAAAATTTTGAACACAATAGCTATTAGAGTGGCTCCTGCAGAGAAAACTGTCAGCACTTTCTCTAAATAAAATCTTTTCCCAAAAGCAAGGATTCTGATTTACATGAGATAGCTATTTTTTCTGCTGTTTTAAATAATTTTATGAATGAAGAATTGATAGGAGTTGAGAAAAACAGAAAACTTGTCATTTAATAGGGAGTTTAGCAATGATTAGTTATTGAAGAATAAGATGCATTGACTATGAATCAATATAAACCCCACATTGTACAAAATACCTGACAATACAGAACCTCAAACTTCTATTTATTGTCAGAGGAAGAAGACAACATGACTTTCATTGATTTTGAGGTTTTCTTTATAGGCATGAATTCAGASACCACCAGCAGTTAAATGTATGCATTGAACAGACAGCAGGATATATTTTAGTTAAATTCCTTTGAGCAAAAAAAAAAAACATTCAGCAAAGTTTTAATGCCTGGGTGGGGTGGCTGGGGTTTCTTCAATTGTCATTTTTTTGGCAGAAATAGAACACTCACACTGAACACATTGAGATATCTCTTACTTACTGAGAACTATTGAAGCATTTGTTTTAYTCTTGAACTCCACAACCCAGCAGCGCTCCAGGACTACCACTTCAGAGGCTTCAGAGCTCTGTGAAACAAAGATGGCAAAACTTTAGGATTTGGAACCTGACTGGGAAGTCCTTCTGTTTGGCTGTTCACAGCTGATGTGAYATGGAGATACAAAGATAAGCAAGCATAGAAGTCACTAGGCAGATGGATACAGGCATTCTTTAATTACTGCTCTGTGCCACCCTACTTCAGCTCAACGAGTTACAAAAGGAATAAACTGTAAGAAAAGACTCTGCAGGAAACATTTAAAAGTGGCTTAGGAGGGTTTTTTCATGCTTCAAGTATTTAAAAGTTTAGATGACATTTCACTCCTGAGCAAGTGAGGCAAGCCCAGCTCATTCAAACTTTCATATTTTCTAACAAGGCCGAATCAAACATCAGATTCTATTCAAAGAGTAGGATACTTTCAAGTGAACAAAATAATGTATAATTTTACAGAATGCACTTCACTTCAATTTTTATTTGAAATGGATTTCTTTATCAGCACTTCAGACTTTGAATATGGTCTCTGGCTATGCAATTCAAATARCATTAAGTGATATGGACCTATTGCTGAATGCAATAGGATACAAATTACATGATCATTTCTCRTGAGTGCTTTGCAGACAAGATGCAGACTCTTCTAGTTTAGTAAGCGTGACTCATATTTCAGAAGAGTGAAGCTATCAATCACTTCCTTGGAATTAATCTTTTTTCCCTTAAAACTTTTATTATCCACTTTTTATCCCTAACATCTGGTAACAAATAACCCTTAGAACATCCCTTCGTTCCAGGTTCCCAACAAGAATGACACAGAGCTCATTCTCTACTTCAATGAGATTCTGCAGGTATAAATGCAAAATCTTGCTTTAACACTCCTTTCTTATTTTAACACTCCTCCTACTTTATTCCAAGTGATCCTAAAGWTGAAATATTGTGCAKYAATTTTACCAAAAGCCTGAACTTTAGTTTCACATATCTGACACTTAATGAATAACTTAATAAAACAGCTCGTATTTACAACACCTGCCTAACACACACAAGTTTTCTTGCCCACCCCTTTCTCTGCATCTGTGCTSTGTTATTTGGCCTGYCAGAACCAGACTCAAACTTTTTGCYGAGRGTTTCATGTTTATTTTCAAATAGATGTCYTGTTCCTGTTTTTCTCACAAAAGCRTCTCTATCTTACCCAGTAAAACACTGCCCTTCCTGACAAAAATTGCAGAAATTTAATAAAACTGAAAAAGTGTCTAGTAACAGAACACATAGCATTTCAGGAAGACTAACAAAGAGTTCCCAGAAAAGTCTATATTTATTCTCTCTAACCTTTTACCACTCACTAAATGAATATTCCAAACCCAGATATCAAAACACAAATCAACATCCAAAGGCAACAGAAGGTTAAAAAAATTTTAAAAAAGAGCATGTTGCATTGAAATACACCAGAATTGAAGAGAGAAGTTGTAGTAGACTAAGAAAATATCTAGAAAATACTTATAAATTGATTTCTTTGAAATACTATTCAGGCTGGGCTAGACTAAAAGGAATATATTGTCATGCAAACAGAAAAAAAATCTAATTGTTAAAAAAACCAAAAAAGAGAGAAAATGACCAAATAGTGAAAAAACAGTGAGTTTTGGTAGAAACACAAGTATTACGTTGAGAAATTTTTTATTTATAGAATGCAGCAAGTTAGTGACAACCCAGAAGTGACTCGCAAGTGCTGAGTGAATYTTTGAGGGTCTAGCAGGAAAGTAAAATAGGAGYCTTTATGAGCAACAGCTAAAGTCARTTTGGGAAAACAGGCAGTAACAATCCAAAAAACAAACAACAGACTAATTAGAAAGAGCTCTCCACTGCAGTGATCCTGAYAACTATCTTAATTCTTTGAATTTCAAAGCCCCAACAGACTCTTCCAGAYAACCCTCCCTTGAAAAGTGGATAATGCAGCCTCATTCCTCTGAGAATTGTCAATCTTTCAGAGGAGAGATGACCAAAAGAAGGAGTTTATTTTGGAAGGCAACAAGCCAGGTATTTGGAAAGACCAGGAATGAGGAATCACAGCTTCCATCTAGTTTGCTACAGTTGCCAAGACTGAAAGACTTCGTGTTGTATATGAAAGGCGTGTGAATAACACAAACAAATGGCAGCAAAAATAGCTTTCAATTAATTCAGGGGAATCTGTCTCAGTGCAGTCTGTCTCACAAGGCAGTTGAYACACAACTGTAACTGCAAACACAAGAGAGAAGAAGATGATTTCAAGCTCTCTGCATTTTGGGACCGAGATGCTGCAGCTCAAGAGCCTCTTTAGACAGGAGTTACTCCCCTCTCTGCACCAGTGGAAGCTGGAATGGAGCAATGCTGCAACTTCCAATGAATGTGAATATTTTCCTAAGGTATGCAATCCAGAACACTGAGCAAAGTGTATTTACGTTTTCTGTATATGAGAGGGAACAAGCAGGGAAACAAGAAAAAGGGATGAAAGAGCGTAACACTTCCAGAAAATAAAGGATATGCTGCTGCAAAACATTTTGCACATCCTGACACAAACCTGAATCATTGAAGAAATACCTTCAGAATTACTATTATGGCAGACTTTTCATCGTTTAGATGAGCTGCACTATGCTCTGCCACACAGAAAGCTAAAAGAAATTTACTTACAAATTTAATGACAGGATTGCAATCAAGGAAACCATTAAGCATATCTGATAAAGGATCAGCTTTGTTTTTCAGTACCTGAAGAGATTCAAAATTTCTCTGTTACTTTAGGTGCATAACATAAGCTCATCTGGACCAGCTATTATTTTATTTTTCTATGTCTGACTTTATTAAAAGGGTATGTTCTAATGATCTGGTCTTTATGGATGGAAAATATKATCAAATTCAAATCTACTGCGGTAAGATGCAATACATTAGGATTTTTTTTTTTCTTCCTGCCATTGGTATTCTTTGATAATTTTTATAAAACTCACTGGATCAATCCAAATGCCAAACAGCAACTAGACCTTAAACAATTACATCTTTCTCTCAATACTGACTAAACCAACAGGCACCCCAACATCACTCCAGATCAGGAAATTATTTTAAAACAGAGATTTGAGGAGACAATTCAATGATTTCTAAAACTGAATTAAATATCTCAGTGAAACTGCTAGAGTCCCCAAACCTAGAAAATTAAATCACTAAGAAACTGTTGAATATTTCAAAGATAACATCACGTTTGAGCTATTTTTGCATTCCTATAGATCTGACTTGATGTACCATTGTTGGGGGAAAGGACTGTATCATTAAGAACTGATTTTACAATAGGAGATTTCTTSCTGGAGTTGGGGCAGGGAATTTACTGGTAGTTATATCAAGAACTAAGCTGACAGTTAAAATTAGAAGTGACATTCTGAGTAATTCCTTTGTGTAAAAACAGTAAGTCGAAAAGTGAAGCTACAGCACTGTAGAAAGAACAAGCACTAGAGAAAGTAAAAACCCTTCTAATAAGACATTATTAAAAGCCTCCACAGCCAGCTGGGGATGAGGTGCGTGTGGTGTGTGTGTGAATTGCACAGTTGATTTCTTTTAGAAGCATAAAATCACAAATTTGAAATAATTAAATCAAAACCCTGTAGACTAGGGATGCTACATTTACATCAGTTCTTTTCCCCAGTACTGGCAAATGAGCTGATCAGACTGATAGGAGCTCAATAATGCAGGCATGTGCACAGGTCACACTTTTGGCTACCCTATAAACATTACCACCYACATTTGCTATTCTGGTGAGGTTCMCCACTCCAYAGATAAAGCACAGCTTTCTTATAGATTCAACAAGAAAAAAAGGAATGGAATTATAGGGTTATATCAGTCACAAACAGAAAAGCTAATAGTCCTAAATTGATTTCAGTATATTTCTACAGCAATATCCCATTACCAAATAGAGCAAAAGAAATTGTTCTAATTTTGAGGTATTAACRAATGACTCCATGGCAATCACAGGCATATAATTTGCAGAATTAAAAACACCGCTYTAAATGATAATAAAGAGAATTCAAYRATCTGAAATGTCCTTTAATATTATGTATTCTTCTGCTGTATTATATCTCTACCCTGTGTCTATTAAGTAATGCAAACCCTACAACCCAAGCTGTGTGATAAGGAAAGATGTGCTCTCTGTCTGATGAGGTTCAATTACTGCAGGCAGGCTGTAACCTGGTAGTTCATTACAATCTCTACAAACTGCCAGCTCGTGAAAGATGCTCAAATCATCTTTACAAAGCACAAGCTACACACTGTGATTAAACCATCACACAGTGCTACCGGATCCCAACTTCCAGCTGACAATATAGTACCAATAACCTGCATTCACTCTGGAAAATGTTGACTTACATCACTGAATAAGTTCTACAGAACAGAAAACTACCTTTAATGGGTCATTACCTTTAACAAAAGCGAGTACATAACCAAAAGTAGTTTCCTTTTCAGTTTCAAAATGCATTAGTAATAATTATAGTGTACTAATACACATTCTGTTTATTCACACCCCACATTCACTTCATGTATTATTTCAGCTTGAAAAAAACTCTACTTTCCCTCCCACCAGAAGTTAGTTATTTATAGTTAAGATACTAATTAGTTAATTTTKTTTAAGTTATATTCTGGTGCAAGACTCCAGTGATATATCACAACACACACCTCAGATAATTCCCTTTTTTAGGGAAARTTCTTTCACTCTGATCTATATTTTGGCTGTTACATAAAATATGTGGCATTCATCTCTGTTCAGTTCCCTGAATACTCCTTTTCACCTCAGAAACATTAAGAAGCCCTGACCACAGCTTTTYCCCCAGAGAGATTGTGGTAATCCTGAGAATTCCTGTATGTCTGAGCAYGTGCATACTTGACATAAAACTAATGTGAAATATTTCTTAGCAAACAGCTGTATCAGACCAAAGACCCCTTATTCTGCTTGAAAGTGACATAAGGAAGTATCCAAGGAAGAGGAAAAGCAGGGAAACAACATGCAGTCCTCTTTCAGTTTCCCACTGTTTTCAG